AAATCGGCTTACAATCCACTAAAGATCGCAGGCTAGCGCTGCCATCTAGAGTTGATTATGGCCTGGATAGGTTAATTAATGTCTAATTAATAATTTAGATAACATTTCAGGCCTAAAGAAAGACCTGAAATAGGCAGATTTAGCTCTTGCATAATGCATGTTTAAATTGGGTGAAAAAAATTATGACCTCTACAATCAAGGGCCATAATTCAGGAAGTTACAATCCGATATGCTCGAATACGGAGAGGAACCAAGATCTTTGGGTTATAAACATGCATTTTAAGTTTCATCATAATTGGATCAAAACTGTGACCTCTAGAGGGTCCACAACCTTGATATACCATATTTTTACACAAGGGGCGGCCATTTGTCCGGCAGTTTTGGTCCGATTTTCACGAAATTCGAACTGAACCTTCATTAAGGTGAAACGGTGATATATTCAAATATACGTCCACATGAAAATGTGATAGAAAATAATTAATAGAATGCAATATCAAAAAACCATCGTTTGATATTGTATTCTATTAATTATTTTATATCAACTTATCTGAATAACAAATGCATCATTTTGACTTAGTCAAAATTGATTCCATCAAACCGTCTGTATTTGGTTTGTGTTTCCCGTTTCTATTGATTGGAAGTTTCACATGAAAATGTGGGCGTATAATACTGTGAAACATTTGAGAGATCTTTTCTAGTATCTGATAACACAGTTATTGTAGTTCTGAATGTCCAATAAAGAAGGTTTTGTACAAATTAACTTGTGTCAGTTGGGAGATTAGATAAAGAAGTGACAGTTCTCACTATAATAGTTAAACACTAGATAATGTAAAGGGAATCTGATGAAAATTTCAGTCTAATTGATCCACTCTGAACTGAATTGAATTTTTGTCCTAGCCTCGATCACCATTACTAAGATATAATCTTGATTATCCATTTCATGATTAAATCATGGATGAAAGTTGAGCAGCAAATCGGATCCTAATCGAGTAAATATTGCAGGCTAGCGTTCACATCGAGAGTTGATTATGGTCTGGATAAGTTAATTTATGTCTAATTAATAATTTAGATAACATTTCAGGCCTAAAAATGTATGTTTAATTCTGCCTGATAATAATGAAAATGCTTGTACACCTACAGTACCTGTCTTTTATTACACTTCTGTATATCAACATTTCTTGGTTCTGCATTCTGCAATATAAAATTACATTGAGTGACTTTTGACCCTATAGTAAAATTTGTTTGTGGACACTCTACAGGTCACAATTTTTATTCGATTTTGACAAAACTTAAAATATAGGTCTATCTCCCAAAGATCACGGTTCCTTTCGATATTGACATATATTGGACCATAACTTCATGGATTATGGCCCCTGATTGTACGAAAAATCATGTTTTTAGCTTGTGGAACTCACAATTTTTATCTGATTTTGATGAAACTTGAAATGCATGTTTATAACCCAAAGATCTTGGTTCCTTTTGATATTCGTGCATATGGTCACTCAAGAGGTCACAATTTCTATCGGATTAAAAAAAAAAAAACGTTTGAATATATCATCGTTACACAATAATGATGGGGGAGTTTGAATTTTATGAACATCGGACCAAAACTGAGACACCAAATGGCTGCCCCTCGTACCCAAATAGTGTAAATATATGGTATATCAAGGTTGTGGACACTCTAGAGGACACAATTTTGATCCTCTTGATGGAACTTGAAATGCATGTTTATAACCCAAAGATCTTGGTTCCTGTCGATATTCGCACCTATCAGATTGTAACTTCCTGAATTATGGCCCTTATTGTATGAAAAATCGTGTTTTTAGCTTGTGGTCACTCTAGAGGTCACAATTTTTATCCGATTTAAAAAAATGTTTGAATAATATATCACCATTATACCCTAATGATGGTTGAGTTCGAATAGTGTAAATAAATGGTATATCAAGGTTGTGGACCCTCTAGAGGCCACAATTTTGATACGTTTTGATGAAACTTTAAATTTATGTTTATATCACAAAGATCTTGGTTCCTCTCAATAATCGTGCAAATCTGAATGAAACTTCCTGGATTATGGACCCTGATGGTTTGAAAAATCGCATTTTTAGCTTGTCGACCCGCTAGAAGTTACAATTTGAATTCAGTTTTAAAAATCGTTTCAATATATCACCATTACACATCAATGAAAGTTGAGTAATTTCGTAAAAATCTGACCGAAACTGCCTGACAAAATGGCTGCTCCTTGTATGCAAATAGTGTATAAACATGTGTAATATCAAGGTTGTGGACCCTCTAAAAGTCACAATTATTATCCGATTTTGATGAAACTTGAAATGTATGATTACAATCCAAAGATCTTGGTTCATGTCAATATTCGCGCATTTCAGATCATAACTTCCTGGATTATGGCCCCTGATTTTATGGAAAATCACCCTTTTCTTAGCTTGTTCTCCATCTGTCTCTTGCAAAATGTGGACGTATCTTGCCTGGCAGCTGCTGGTTCCATAGACAAGAAGCTGTATCTAATGGTCTGAAGATAGTGAAGTATTGAAAATAAGCAGCCTTTCAAAACTGTCAATAAAACGTTAAAGTCTTGTGTCATTTTAGAGTAATAAGAATCACTTGCAAAGATATGTTGAATGGAAATTTCATCGACCTCTATGCTGCTCGCCATTAATAAGCCACCACCATTTGCTGTTGGTGAACAAAATCGATGGGCCTTTCTTAAATCCGATTGAATCCAATTATATGCTAAATAATCAATCTGAGTACACATTAGCATGGATTAAGCTATGAGAAATTTGATATATTAGCTAAAATGCAAATAGTGCATTGTTACTTTAACATTTAAAGGCCAATTCAAATGTTCAACACAACACAATTAGCCAGAAACAATTTTATTTCAATGACTAGGATTTGTGTGGTTGTGTGCAGTCACATGTAGTGCACTTTGTAGTTTATGCTTATCAATATGTGGAGCATTATCAGATAAAAAAAAAATTCAAAGCAAGGTTATTTATTGAGTTGATCATTCATTAGATTTATTTGTGCTTGGCTGTAGGCTGTTTAGCATTTTAATACAGAACATAATAGTTGGTGACATTATCAATATCTTTAAATACTGACTGCTAGTTTTAGGGTCTGACAACCACAGTGTTTGTTAGTTTCTTCTCAGATTTAAAAATGGAACATATCAACTTAAACAGACATGCAAGTGCTAAATCTGCCTATTGCAGATCTTTCTTTATATAAATTATTAATTAGGCATTTATTAACATGACAATACCATAAGCAACTCTCAATGCCATCAGATGCCTCGGATTTAAGTAGATTAGACCTGTTCAGCCATTTAATGATTTAATTTTAAAATGGAAAACCAAGGCTACGGCTCGAATGACCAGTATGGTAGTTACAATCAATGCACTTGTCTTATCAAAACTTAAACAATTCATAACTTTGCTCAAAATAATAATTTTAATGAAATTTTCAATACATTCATTTTGTATGTCATAATTTTGAAATATTATAGCGAGAACGTCCAGCTCTTTATCTAAATCTTACATAATGCCCCTTTAACATGCTAACTGATTTTTTTGGACAGCCGTCTTTATTATCCCAAGTCGGAGCAAAACAGTAGAATGTTAAACCCCATTACATTTCATTTCACAAAATTTCAGACATTTTGACTATTTAAAGCTCCAGAACCAATTTTGGTACCCATCCACACATTCTGTACAGCACAATTTGATTGTAGAATATGTACTATTTCTACTCCATTCAAGACAGATGGTATGAGATACACTTGGGCTTCACTTTAACCCCGATGTTGGTATTCACTCCCAAGTTGTAACTAGTGGCTTTATGTATAGGATATTAACCTAACCTAGGTTGATATGGTAGAGTAGGTTTATATCCGACATATACAATGCCATTTCACCCTTTAATTTAATGGGCTCTTCCATTAAAAGGCAACAACGATTGGATAATTGCTCAATACTTTCCGCCAAATAGCGAAAATTACCTAAGTAATCACGTGCAATTACGTGCATTTTTTTGTTTATACGTCGCCATTTTGGACTATTGAATTGAAAGCAAAAACAAAATGGATAGTAATACGAAGTCAGACGAATAATCAATCCTTTTTAGCCAACATATTGACGATGGAATAGATGTGAATGCAAATATCGACGAGGATCTATCCAAATCCTGCAGAAAATTTGGACCAAAAGGCATTCTTTTCCAAGAATTCTGACAGTGAACCATGATTGAAGGTTTTCGGTATGTTCAGAGAAGGATTTGACCGACTGTTTTAAGTGGACTGTACCCAAAAATACTTTACAAAGGAACTCGTGGGCGATAAATACTTTCAAGTCTTGTAGTGTGTGGAGAAATAATCGCAATGTGGACGAAAAGAAAATTCTGAAAGATGTCTTAGACATGGATAACTGATCTAAATACATGTATGTCGATAAGTACGCCATCTATTTCGGTCTTGAATGTTAGAAACTGTCCCATAACAAATTTTAATTGTCAAAAGAATAAAAATTTATTTCTGTGTTTTTTTGTATTATTTCGATCATCTACGTCATCAGCGGTTGATATGAGCCGAATATATTGACCTGAGATGACGTCATTAGCGGTTGATATGAAAATATCAACCTGTCATGACGTCATCAGCGGTTGATATGAACGAATATATCAACCTGTGATGATGTCATGACAGGTTGTTATGAGATATAACTGCTATGGACATCAAAGTAAAAACTACCGCCAGTTGTATATAAGATATATATTAACTGATCATCACCTTTGCTAGAAAGGGATTACTAAAATGAATGAAAGAATCAATCTCTTGCCCATTGAATTGCTCATTATTATATCAGGTTGTTTATAACAACTTGTTTTTGCTAATAAAAGATTCATAATAATAATAGATTTTAATATTGTGTATTAATCTCAGATTAGATATTATATGATATATATTTTTGTTTTGTCCATTCCAGATTAAGCCATCCAAATATAGTCAAGTTACTAGATGTGTTTGATGATAAGTCACATGTTTATTTAATTATGGAACTGTAAGTATATAATTATTAAACATTATTTTATTATATGTAGTAATGTTTAAATATCAATCAGTAATACTGTGATTACCGTAGATGTGTTACTAGATGTGTTTGATGATAAGTCACATGTTTATTTAATAATGGAACTGTAAGTATATAATTATTAAACATTATTTTATATGTAGTAATGTTTAAATATTATTCAGTAATACTGTGATTACCGTAGGGAAGACATGTTGTGGGTATTTCAAAATCAATCAAGGGATCTTTAAATTACACTGTCAACATGACCTTAGTTTTAGTATCAATTCCAAATAATCAGACACACTTTGTTTTTGTAACAGAGATATTTTGTAACTTAAGTTAATTTCCTTGATTTGTCTTTGCTATCATCCTCCAGCAGACGTCTCAACCCCCAGGTATGAAAAAACAGGAGACCAGCAATAAAAAAACAGGAGAATCCAGAAGATTTTTTAATTCTTTCAAAGGCATCATTTTTATTCATCAATAATAATATATTTATAGGTTTCTTGCACTTTATTTATATACACAAATCTTTAGCACTTACACAAGTCTTTAACACTTATATACACTATTTTTGTTATGAGTCTATAGACAGTTCTATGGTTACTATTCAGTGTTTAAATGTTCTTTATTGTATTTGCTTGTTGCAGCTTTGGCATCCTGCAACAACTGATGACTTAACACTGTTTCATAACAGGGGTTACAGGAGTTTATTTTGCATGAAATCAGGCTGCAAATTGTAGAATTATTTAATTCAGTTCTTTCTTCTGTTTTAATTTTTCTTACTAGTGAAAATAATCTTGCTGTTTCCGCGTTGGAATTAGGAATTAAGATTAATCTCAATGCTAATTTAGCCAGTTGGCTAAATCTTCCGGAACCATCTATTAGTTTCATTTTAGTCATCCTGATCCAGTACTGATCCTGTGACAGACTATTTGGTGGAAGCTCTGTTTCATGCATCAGGTTAAAGTCTGTATATTGTTCCTCAAGCTCATCAGTTACAGGAAATCCCAGAGCTTTGGCACATTTCAACACTGAATCTGAAGAAAAGGGTGATCGTAGTTTATCCACAGGATGAATCCACCCAATATTTTGGAGGACTATGTTATTGAATGGAAATTGTTTTAACATCATCTGTACTGATTCTTCATAGAATAACCTCACATGTTTGAAGAATCTGCTAACCATGACATCATCATCAATATTGTTCATATATTCTCTGGTTTTCACACCAACAGCCAGGATGCCATCTGGTAGCTGACTGGATTTATCCATATATGGAACTTCTGTAAGTTGGTGAGACTTGATTACATTGGTCTTCACAAACTTACCAAAGTATTTCCTCAAGAGGCGAGTCATATCTGAGTATAAAAAACAGATTTTGCTTTCGTCTGCCTGAAATGCTGTATTGAATTCATTAAGGGGGTTCAATATAAATTCCAAAAACATACAATACAAATGCAACTCTTCATTTGCTAAATAATTGTAGCATGTCTGAACTCTTCCAGTTTTTTCCATATCTTCATGTGACTCAAAATAGGATTTTAAGGCAGGCCATTGTTCTAGTGTCCTCTTAAGACATCTCTCAAGACTTAGCCATCTTGTTTGTACATGTTTTATGAGCTGATGTGGCTCAACCTCACAAAACTCTTGAAATGTCTTGTATATTTCAGTTCTTTTGGAGCTTAAATGGAAATGATAATTTATTTCCATGAGCATATGGTCAATTGACAGAGGCAACTTATTTAAGGCAGCCTTTACAACAAAATTTGCCAAGTGACAAATACATCCAAGATCAAACACATATGGCTGCTTTTCTTTGATTCTGGACAACACAGAATTGTTTTTCCCAATCATAACACTGGCATTGTCAGAACAATAAGCCACTAGATTATCCCAGTTAAGGCCATGATCATTGAAAGATTTCTCAATGGCACTGAATAAATTGCTGGATGTTGCAATATTGCACACTGGCAAGTCAAGGAATTTTGTCTCGATACATTCTTTCTCTTCATTAATAACTCTCACTAAAATCGCCATGTTCTTGTTGTGGCCTCTGTCATTTGACTCATCCACTAAAAGACTGAATGGACCGTGGCACATACGTTTAACTTCAGCTGTAAAATTTGGGCCAAGAGCATTCTTAACTATCATAGTAGTTTTTGTTCTACCACATTGAAATTCTTTGGCTACTTTGCTGTCTGGAAACATTACTGCAGCCATCTTCGTGAAATGGTCAGCAAATTTGAAAGACAAATTATGCTCTGCCACCATCATTGCAAAAAGTGTTTCTGCTCTAATTGTTTTGTTGTCTTGAGTTGTTATAAAATTGGAAAAAGATGTAACATTACTAGTATCAACAGCTTTGCCAATTCTATTATGCTTTTCAGATTTTATATGTCGTCGTAAATCGGATATGCCACCAGAAGCTATGTTAATTGTAGCATTGCACACGTTGCATATCGCTTCTGTAGTTTCTTTCTTGCTTCGTACAACAAATGGAAATTCTTTTCTCCAGGATTCTAAAAATTTACACGCGTAACGTTTTTTCTTCGCGGGAGAATTGTCAAAATCGCAGAGACGTTTAGTCGGTTTACTAGTACTAGCCATAGTGAAAATTGACAGTAATGGAACGAACCTTGCAAATTTCTCCATTTTATCAAGTACTTCAATGTACTCTGTTATCATTACAATATACTTTGTTTACTTCAATGTACTCATTACAATAGACTTTATTTACTCCAATTTTTACTCTGAGTGCAAACAACAACAATCACACGCAAATCTAGTAAGTACTCGATAATCAAAGTTTCCGGTCAAGTTCAGCCAATCAGAATGATTTATGATACGGAAGTAAAGGTAATTACCTCCCTTTGAAAAAGTAAAAATAGAATCGGCAATATGGCCATTTTCCGTGAGATAATTCCTCCCGCACAGGAGATCGGGAGAAATGTCCCGAATCCGTGAGTCTCACGGAAGAAACAGGTTAGTTGACACGTCTGTCCTCCAGACTTTCTTAGATATTTTTCAGGCATGTGTACTTTTGGTTCAATATAAAAATGTCAATAATCTTCTTAAGTCACATTTTCTATACAAATGGTGTAGGTTATATTTTCTATATAAACTAATAATAATGATTGTGTGTTTTTTATTTGTATTATTTTAGAGTCACTGGTGGAGAACTGTTTGATCGTATTGTTGAGAAAGGTAGCTATACAGAGAAGGATGCTAGTTTATTGATTAAACAGGTTTTAGAGGCAGTAGATTTTATGCATGAAAGGGGAGTTGTACATAGAGATTTAAAAGTAAGTGCCTTTACCAATTTCATCTCAAAAACATATTGGTAAAATTTATGTAACATTTATTTAAAGTAGCTAAGTCTCCAATTCAATATCATCCAAAGTCTTACACGTTGAAAACACAAATTATTTGTCAATTCAAATCAACATTGATGTTGTGATCTAACCGGGAGAAGGTAGGCTTCTGATATCCAATATTTAAGACACAATAAACATTTTACCATTGGTACACGATTCAGCGTCATTTGAAACAAGTGACCAGGAAGAATGAGGCTAGACATATTCCACAACTCATGTCAAACAGTGACACTATATCTTATCTGGAGAGCATGCGCAATAGACTGGAATAACCAGATGCTAGAAATTGCCAGTCGGTTGAAACTAATGCTGTATTTCACTGGACATAACTGATTTGAAATTAGAGTCAAAAGGGAAACAATTGAATGTAAATCAGTTTATATACAATCAGATTACATTAACATTATTAGCGATTTAGCTCCATTAAATATTTAGAATTGGGACTGCTTGATCATGTTCTATAAACATAGTTTCTCCTAATTCAAAGGTTATTATACTAGGTTAAAAGTTGAAATCTATATAGTGGCAAGTAGCTGTCCCAGATTCATCTCACAAAGCTGCTCGTAATGGCTTACGTAATAATGTGTATGGCCCTTATGGCCCTTGTTTCACTTTGTTGAACCTTGTGAACACTCTAATGCAAAAAGTTAACATACGATCTTTGTGAAATTTATATGCAATATTTAACTCATCGGCTCCGATAGCTTGAATATGCGGACCAATTAAACCCCTCTCTTATACCGATAGCTTGAATATGCGGTCCACTGATTATTAGTGGCATCCCCGAGAGACGTAAATTCGCGGTCTCTTTGTTGCACTGTTTCCTCAAACCATAAATTGTTAAATTAAAGCCAATTGGCTAACTAAAAGTAGTTAATCCAATCAAATATAGTTTTAGCTAACGAATGATCATAAAAAATGAACAACAAAAGTTCAGGGGTTATAAGGTTGTGAACTTTGTGGTAAAATTTTTCTCACCGATCGCCATTTTGTTAAGTATAGATTATTATTGCGCTCCTTTTTCTTACAATATCTTCATTATGGAAAGTGATACGGACTTGGAATTCGAAGGGTTTTTACCTGAAGATATTTTGGATGTTGATATAAGTAATGCCGTGGGAAGTGATTTTTCCGATATTTCGAGCGGAGAAGACGATCTTGATGTAACAACGGCCGACGAGAAACAGCATGGCTGCCCGTCTTGTAGTAACGAGTTTATTTATAATTTATTGTGAACTAAATGGATAAATTGTACAATCAGTGTGATAATTATTTGGTGCATTTGTGTGCTACATGATTCAGAGCGTACTATGGATCTTAAAAATATAACAGTGCTATTGTGAGTGCTCTAAACAAATGTGATAAACAGAACAGTACCATTGACATTGCCATCTTGATTGATGAACTTACTCAGTGCTAATCATTTATGATTTGTTATGAACTAAAATGACTAAATCCACACTGATAATTCTTGTAAACCTTTAATAATATTATGTATATATTTGGACTAATTATTTTTTTTCAAATTATTGACTTAAAAAAGACATTTTAGAAAGAATTATTGACTTGCCAAAATATATAATCTTGTAGTAATGTGACTGTTTTTTTACTTATATGTTTTTTTATTAAAGAATAACTCTGTTGTTATTTTGTATTATTGATTTAATTTTATACCATTGTAATGCCTGATTTTATATCTGCATTTGATAATATAAACATTTTTTGATTGGAGTAATAGTTTTTGTGTTATTTTGTATAATCTACATATGAGATTAATGGATAATCCTTTAATTAGCTACAGGGAGAGAAGCTATTTTATCACCCAATAATACATTCTACAGTAGATATCGCTTGTGTGATATATTTCATAATGGTTGAATTGCTGTCAAAAAATGATGTATCACTACGCCGTAATGTTCAGTAAAAGTGAAATCTACAGCAAAGAATTATATTTATCTATTTGTGCATGTAAGAAGGGCAGAGCCTCGTTTTTTGTTACTTTATCAACTTGTGTTGATATTTTTTGATATCAAAAAAGACTGGTAGGAGATTCTCTATGTCTAGTTAATTGGCTCAGGGAGATAAAGGGGTAGTTACTTAATTAGGTCTAGGGTTCAATGAGTTAAGTTAGTGAAACGAAGAAGCCTATTGAATTTCAACAATTTCTGTTTATTACATCTAAAGTTCACTTTATTGAACCTTGTGAACGCTCTAACTCCAAAAGTTATCATCCGATCTGTCTGAAATTTACATGCATTATTTAAATTAGTGAAACGAAGAAGTCTATTGAATTTCAGCAATTTCCGTTTATTACGTCTAGAGTTATGGCCCTTGTTTCACTTTATTGAACCTTGTGAACGCTTTAACGTCAAAAGTTATCATTCGATCTTTCTGAAATTTATATGCATTATTTAGGTTACTGAAATGAAGAAGCCTATTGAATTTCGGCAATTTCCGTTTATTACGTCTAGACTTATGGCCCTTGTTTCACTTTATTAATCCTTGTGAACGCTCTCACGTCAAAAGTTATCATCCAATCTTTCTGAAATTTATATGCTTTATTTAAATTGGGGAAACAAAGAAGCCTATTGAATTTCAGCAATTTCCGTTTATTACTTTTAGAGTTATGGCCCTTGTTTCACTTTGTTTAACCTTGTGAATGCTCTAACCCCAAAAGTTATCATCCGATCTTTCTGAAATTTACATGCATTATTTAAATTGGTGAAACGAAGAAGTCTATTGAATTTCAGCAATTTCCGTTTATTAAGTCAAGAGTAATGGCCCTTGTTTCACTTTATTGAACCTTGTGAATGCTCCAACGCCAAAAGTTATCATTCGATCTTTGTGAAATTTATATGCATTATTTAGATTAGTGAAACGGAGAAGCCTATTGAATTTCAGCAATTTCCGTTTATTACGTCTAGAGTTATGGCCCTTGTTTCACTTTATTGATCCTTGTGAACGCTCTAACGCAAAAAGTTATCACCCGATCTTTGTGAAATTTATATGCATGATTTAAATTAGTGAAACGAAAAAGCCTATTGAATTTCAGCAATTTATAATAATTACTTCTAGAGTTATTGCCCTTGTTTCACTTTGTTAAACCTTGTTAATGCTCGATTGATGATAGTTATCATCCGATATGTATGAAATTTATATGCATCATTTAGATTTGTGAAACAGGTATATTGAATTTCAGCAATTTCCGTCAATAATTTCTAGAGTTATGGCAATTGTGAACGTTTGAATGTCAAATGTTATCATGTGATCTGTATGAAATTTATATGCATTATTTAAATTAGTAAAACGGAAAAGTCTCTCAAATTTCAACAATTTCTGTAGATTACTTCCAGAGTTGAGACCCTTGTTTCAGTTTGTAGAACCTTGTAAACCCTCAATTGTGAACGTTTGAATGTCAAATGTTATCATGTGATCTGTATGAAATTTATATGCATTATTTAAATTAGTAAAACGGAAAAGTCTGTCAAATTTCAACATTGAACGTTTGAATGTCAAATGTTATCATGTGATCTGTATGAAATTTATATGCATTATTTAAATTAGTAAAACGGAAAAGTCTGTCAAATTTCAACAATTTCTGTAGATTACTTCCAGAGTTGAGACCCTTGTTTCAGTTTGTAGAACCTTGTAAACCCTCAAACGACAAAATTTATAATCTGATCTGTATGGAACTGTCTTGTAAAGGTCCCCAATTACCTACAAAGGAATAAATATGCGACAACCCTTGACAACCGCTCGGACGATTTAGCTGCTGTGGGCGTATGTTTTGTTGCCTGGCAACCTATCTTTTGTACAATCAGGTGCAATAATCCAGAAAGTTATGGCCTGAAATGTGCAAATATCAAAAGTGACTGAGATCTTTGGGATATAAAGATATGTTTTAAGTTTACTCAAAATCGGTTAAAAATTGTGACCTCTAGAGGGTCTACAACTTTCGTATTACACACTTCTACACAATTTGCCACAAAGAGCGTCCAATTTGTCAGTCAATTTCATATCAATTTTCCCGAAATTTGAATTCAACCTTCATTATGGTGGAATGGTGATGTGTTTAAACGGTTTTTAAAATCGGAAAAAAATTGTGATCTTTAGAGGGTCCACAACATTGATTTACCAGATGTTTACACTATTTCGGTACAAGGAGCAACCATTTTGTCCGGCAGTTTGGCCCGATTTTCATGAAATTATATCGGTGATATATTCAAATGTTTTTTTAAATTGGATAATAATTTTGACCTCTAGAGGGACCACAAGATAAAAACGCGATTTTTTGTACAATCAGAGACCATAATACAGGAATTTACAATCCGATATGCGCGCATATTGAAAGGAACCGAGGTGTTTGGGTTATAAACATGCATTTCAAGTTTCATCAAAATTGTGGCCGCTAGAGGGTCCACAACTTTGATATACCAGATGTTTACACTATTTGCATACAAAGGGCGGCCATTTTGTCTGGCAGTTTTGGTCTGATCTTCATGAAATTCTAACTCAGACAAAATTACGGTGTAACAGTTATATATTTGAACGGTTTTTTTTTTAAATCGGAAAATAATTGTGACCTCTAGAGGAACCCACAAGCTAAAAACGTGATTTTTCGTATAATCTGGGGCCATAATTCAGGAAGTTAAGATTCGATATGTACGAAAATCGACAGGAACCAAGATATTCGGGTTATAAACATGCATTTCAAGTTTCATCAAAATCAGACGAAAATTGTGACCTCCAGAAGGGTCCACAACCCTGATACACAATATTTTGACACTATTTGTGAACAAGGGGCGACCATTTTGTCTGTCAGTTTCGGTCTGATTTTTATATGCCCACATCGAAATGTGGTCATATATTGTCGTCGCCCCCGTCTGTCCGTCTGTCGGTCCGGCGTCTACAATTCCTTGTGGACGCTC